CCTATGAACATTCTGAAGTATGCTTGTATAAATCAAGCACAAGTACATTATATAGGAGACATTAAAATATGAGCTGCTGGCTTAAATTAAAATAGCCAATTATGACCGCAGAGGTTATTGTTGATGTTAGGTAGTCAATGTTCTTTTGCTTTACAGAGTACCTTTTATGTACCAACAAAATTTCTAACTTGAAAGTTAACAAAGAGAGTGGCTTTTTACATAATGCCAATTCATCTGGAAATAAATGAAAAATCCATCGAAATAGCAAAGAATTTTTATGATACACAGCAGTGCACTGGAGTGTTTCATTAATTGACTACTTTGGCATCAAGTAGACTGATCCTAAATCAGAAAAGAACAAGCTTTTCTTTAGGTAAAAGGAATTTCAAATAATTAACAGCAAGGCCTAATATTTACTGCATGCCTATTATGTGTGAGGAGCTACCTGGGCAGTAGGCTCCAAATTTTCCCAAGTCAATGCTTTAAAATCAAACGATCCAAATCATGCAACTAAAAAATGGTAAATGCATTATTCTTACTTTAAAGGATTATTGAGTAAATTTTATAATGAGCAATTAAAATTTTTTGTCTCCCTCATAATTTTTTCATCAATGTGAATGAAAACATCTTCTTGTATCACCTTTACAATTTATGATTCTGGGACTCTGAGGTTGTACCTACAGAACATAATTAATTGACTAATTAAATTATTGAATTTAACTCAAAGAACCAAATACATAGCCTTTATTTTTGTAACTAGTTTCCATAAGAAAATTTACTAACCAAATTGATTCCATTTTAAGGCCATGAAAAGAGCCAGTGATCTTTTTTTTATGCCTACATAAAAGTCAGAACCGTGGGGAGTTTTCTTCGGAATGTATAATTTTACACACATGCACACAAACCTACAAGGGAAATAAAATAGCCAAGAGACAGTAAATGCAATCTAGTACTGGCAGGCATAAATTGAAGGAAAAAAAGGGAAGGAGGGCAATTAGAAAACCTATTGTCTTAGATTGCTATTGGTCAATACATTTGTTTCATCAAGATGAAAGTTTAAAAGCATCCCGGAGAACTCAGAGTCAGGTTTTGCTTCTGACTCTTCTGTTACAGATACTTGGACAACATTGACTTTGAATCTGATCTATGAATTCCTATATTGTCTGACCACAATTGTGGTAATATATGTGAAGTCGATTTCTAAATTCTAAGGCAGTAGACATGCAATTAATCATGACCTCAACAGTTGTCAGCAACCCTGGTTTTACTACGATCATCATTCTTGTTTGCCAAATAACAATGAAGTTTAATGAGAGGTGCAGAGTATACGAATGTTGTCTGAGGACAGGATTACATGATTAATCCAAAACTCATCTAGCGTTATATGAAAATTGATCTATTTTACTCACCACATTTTTTCCTTATGAATCAAGAATATGGTGTATTTTAGAATACCCATTAGAATTCTAAGTCATCAGTGACCCTACTAGATATGAGTATGGGCAATGTCAATACCAATGCACACATTCAGTAATAAGTATATGCAACAGAATGAAAAATTAGAAAAGTAACATTCTCACAAAATCCCATTATAAAGAATGAGGTAATTTCTCTTCCAAATGATCCTATGGTCCCAAAAGATATTATGCCATTATAGAAACACATTTAAACAAACATAAAACTAAATGAACTCATAATACACCATTTCTGCTATGGCAAGGTGGTATAAAAAATAAGAAATAAAAAAAAGTGCTCATAAACAAATAAGAATGCTTAGACTCTTTCTAGGTGATTCAGGCCTTTGCTAATTTAATAAGCCACTTCATAATTCTGAGTGCTTGTTATGCTATACACTCCAGGAATTTCTCCTTTCATCTTGAAAAAATTGTATTGGAAAAGCCAACTGGCAAAATTCACTATTCTCTAAGATCGTCTTTTACTTTTTAAAGTGTATCTGTGTGGCCATTTTTGCTAAATTCTAAAGAAGCGAAATTTGAAGGGAAAAACAAAGGTTATTTCAGCTCAATCCAGTGTCACAATTGAGTTTAACACACAGTGGGAATTTGGTACATTTTTTAAAATCAGGTGTTTTAGTTTATTACAAACCTTCTGCTGATATATGATGGATGAGTAACCCTATCTAGTATCTTTAGAGAAATGTGGTTCTGGGATGAACATGGATATAACACATTTTAAATTCTGTTGATCTGTTTAGGCTAAGAACAACTGCCTTTAATAATGAATATGCATTGAATAGCTTTATTCTTGCCAAAAACACTGAGATATTTTCTTACTAAACATTTTCTTGATTCAAAATTTTATGCTCCATGAAGTGTTGAAGGTAGAGAACAAGAAGGCGTGATAAGCTTTTAATTTACATTCTTTATATCTTGCTCCCAAATTTGTGTCAGTAAAAACTCTGAAAAATTTTCTCAATTTTTCCCTTAACAGCCCATTACTCTTTCCTTTCTTTATACATCTCTCTTTTTTATTTTTTATTTATGTATGTATGTATATATGTATTTATTTATTTATTTATTTATTTTTTGGCAGGCAGAGTGGACAGTGAGAGAGAGAGACAGAGAGAAAGGTCTTCCTTTTGCTGTTGGTTTACCCTCCAATGGCTGCCGCAGCCGGCGCACTGCGGCCGGCGTACCACGCTGATCCGAAGGCAGGAGCCAGGTACTTATCCTGGTCTCCCATGGTGTGCAGGGCCCAAGGACTTGGGCCATCCTCCACTGCACTCCCGGGCCACAGTAGAGAGCTGGCCTGGAAGAGGGGCAACCGGGACAGAATCTGGTGCCCCGACCGGGACTAGAACCCAGGGTGCCGGTGCCGCAAGGTGGAGCATTAGCCTAGTGAGCCGCGGCGCCGTATACATCTCTCTTATTTTCACTTCTTCTTCAAAAATAGATTGACAGGAAAATATAAGTTTTGCTGTGGAGAGGAATAACCTTCTCCCCCATTTTTTAAGGCCTGCTCTGATAATGACCTAAAACAAGTCTAATTTGCAGGGAGCTATTTATTTCAAAGTTATGCTGTTTTGTTATACTCTAGATGTTACTGTTTACCAGTCACATTTATTTGCTTCTAGTAAGTCTTTCCATACATTAATATATGTCATACTTTTATATAAATGATTTCTATGTGAAAATGCTTCAATAAGTTAAAAAAGCTTGTTAATGAAAATCTATGCATGGATTTCAAGACAATTTTGCACTATAATAAACTTATCTTTTAATTCCACTTTCCAGACATTTTGAAGTGCCCTTATACACACACAAAAACACACACACAACATATACAAATGTTTGAGTGAATATCATTTTCTCCCATATAGTAACACATGATTTATATTTACAAATTAATTTCCAATGGCATCTATTAAAGCAGATTTATGCTTTCCAATTTTTTAATTAAAGTAACACTCTTGAAATGAAAGCATCATTTCATCAGCACAATGTTTAGAAAAGTTAATTAAGTGAGTTGTGCACATACACATGTGAAGGGTGAGGCTTTCTTTTATTTATAAAGTATGCACTGATCAACCAATTACTATGTACAATACATTATTGCAATATTTTGTGTTTGGTAGTTATCATTTGCAACCTCCCATGCTTTCTTCTTCATTAGGCAAGTTCCCTTAATAATTCTTATGGATTTGATGGGAATCCTTACTTTAGAATATTAGAACATTTTGGCTTTTGACCTATCTTCTGATTTAAAAAAAATGATTGATGCTTTTATTTAACAGGCAAAGAGACAGAGAAAGTGAGAAATTTCCCATCTGCATGTTCGTTCTCCAAATGCCTGCAACAGGCAAGTCAGGGTCAGTCTGAAGCCAGGAGCTGGGAACCAAGCCTAGGTCTCCCATGTGTGCAGCGGAAATCCAAAGACTTGACCTATCACTCTCTGCCTCCAGAGTGTGTTAGTCAGAAGATGCAATGGAAAGCAAAACCAGAATTCAAACCCAGGCATTCCAGTATGGGATGCAGGTGTCCGAGGCTGTAGTTTAACTGCTGCTCCAAACACCCACCTGAATCTTGTGATGTTTTGAATGAGAAATACAGCATTTTGAGCTACTCATAGTTAACACTGTATGACCATACCTTATGGTACAACAGATACAGTACAGAGTCTGGGAAACCGGGCTATCTATGACATGAGGGCACAGACTAAACCAAAAGACAGATCCAAAATCTCAACCTTGACCAAGGGTAGAGCTGGGAATCATGGAAAATTTTCAAGAAACGGCCAAAGGGGAAATTCATCTTCAAGTTCATGTATTACAGAAGTGGAACTGACTTAATGGATCTTGAGGAGAGAGTAATTTCAGAACTAGAGCTTTTCTCTTTGTAGCAGGACTAAGAGAACAGTGTAGTTGAAAACTACTTAAATTTTGAATCCAATGCCTTTTCAATAGACCTTGCCTTTACTTTTGTTGTTGTTGTTGTTAATTCTCATTGACATTTTACATTGCTTACTACTCATCATTCTTCAAATACTCTCTTATTCCCAGAACAATCCTACCCTCAATGTTTTTGCTCAAGATACTATTTATGCAAAAAAAAAAAAAAAACCTCATACCTGTTAAGAGTCAACATAATGCCTATTCGCCAAAGTGATCTCTCTTTCTCTTTATTCCAAGAGATTTTACTATTGCCAAAGGGCCGTATTCATCTGTAAGGTGATATTGTGTGCTCCAGAGTGCCTTGGTTTATTGTTGTCATGATGCATTCTTAATAGAATGTCCCCTTTTTGTGATGGTTGGATAATAAATTATACTTGCCCCATTCATGTGGTGTCCACTCTTTACTGCCTACAACTTTGTAAATTTATAAATTCGGTGAAGACTAGTGAGTTCTGCTCATTTAAGACTCTTTATTTAGGGGTCGGCATTGTGACATAGCAGGATGCTGTGATGTCAGAATCCCATTTGGGCACTGCTTCATATCCCAGCTGCTCCACTTCTGATCCAGCTCCCTGCTGATGGCCTAGGAAAGGAGGCAGAGGATGGTCCAAGTGCTTGGGCCTCTGCTACCCATGTGGGAGATGTGGAGGAAACTCCTGTCTCCAGGCTTTGGCCTGGCCCAGCCCTTGGCCTGGCCGCTGCAGCCATTGAGAAAGTGAACCAGTCGATGGAGGATAGGTATCACTTTGTCTCTCCTTCTCTCTCTGTGACTCTGACTTTCAAATAAATAAACAACTCTTCATAAAAAATTCTTTATAGACAGATAAATATATCATAATTTTATATATTATAAAATTTACAGTTATATATGAAATATGTAAATTTTACACATATATAATAAATTGTATAAAAATATATATGTCCTAAATGAAGTTAACTTAGACTATATTTTGCATAGACATAGATTGTGTATGTATTTAGACTATGATTATACATAGTGGATGATTTACTGTTTTAATTTGACATCTTGAGTGTCAAAGTGCCAGACTTCACGTCAATCTAAAGTCCTACTAATTATAGCACAGTTCCAAAAATCAATATTTACATGGATTTGCATGGATCTTAATGACGTTGTCAAAATGACTATAGGGATAAGATTGAAATAGCTGTGACTTTTGAGTTATCTCTTATTTTACTTTTGGCATCTATTACTCTCAAATATAGGGAATAATGCAAGAAATGAAAGGGAGTCATTGTTTTCCAGTTTCAAAAAAAAAAAAAAGACTTCTTTCTCCTCCTCACCAAAATAACCACTTCGAATGAGCAATTTTTCTGATTTAATGATACCACTGCTAATTCTTCAACTGAAGTGATTTACATTAGAGTACAATTTCATTACTTCACTCCTGCTAAAGAAAACATGTTTAGACTAACAGTAACAAGTGAAGTGTGTCAACTTGACCCTCATGCTAGCCTCACCCCCGAAATTCTATGAAATTCTTCTTTTCAAGGTGAAGTCCAGGTGTCACCTGCACTGTCATCCTTCCCTCTTGACTCTTCTTCTCTTTTCCTTCTCTTTTCCTGGGAGATTCAAGCATCTCCACTTCTGTTTTCTCACAGCAATTTTACAAATGTATATAGTTGCCCTTAGCCCCTATTGTTGACACACCTATTCACCCCATTAGGTTTTCTAGGAGTCAGGAACCAAATTTTTTTCACCTTCCAATTCCCAGCATCTAGCCAACGGCCCAATGCCTCGCTGCCTGGAACACACCATGTTTTCAACATTTTTAAAAGGTGGTATCTGGATGGTAAGTCATGTTCTGTTATAGAAGTTTGGATCTTAAGTGACTACAGATTTCTCTAACCTGATAGTGACATACACACAGCTTACAAATTGATGTCAAAGACACATCCTTTCAAACGCACAAAGTGCTCATAATCCCAGAGTCATTCTGAGGAAGTAAAGGGCAAATGTTTCCATACAGAAGTGCTATTCTTCAACTGCACTTATAAAAGACAGGCAGGTAGAAGCACATGCAGCCATTTGAAGCAATGCACTGGAACCACTGAAATCTAGGAAGCAATACCAATGAAGGGAAACTTATCACAGATAAGAGATGTTCATTTTAATAAAGCCATACGGAAGCTGGGCTTTGGTTCCAGGCCTAGATATCTCAGTGCCCTCCAAAAGTTATTGACCCCAGAAGCACTAAAGCAAGCAAACAACTCAACCAAGTCAGAATGATCAGTTTAGGTAAACAACCAAGGAAGAAATCAGTCAAAGTGGAAATTAAACATTAAGAAAACCAAATGAAAAGAAAACAGTTGGATTGAGATTTTCTTCTCACCTATCTTTATACTTTACACGGAGACATAAAACAAACATAATTCGAGATGCACTTGATTTCCTTTTCTAAGCTTAAGTTATTACACAAATTTCTTCAAGACTGTGCCACAACACCTGAAAAAGAATGTGATGTTTGCAATTCCCCACTGCCTTGCAATGGAGAGAAATAGCTTGAATAGGCTGAAATGGAGAAATGAGTTATCAGTATTTTCTCTCCCATTACTTGAATGGTAGGCTTCCTTAGGGGAAGTAGGTGATAAGTGGGGTCTCCCTGAAGAGCAAAGTTGACCCTCTTAGCCCAGGGCTTGGAAAGTGGGAGGAAGGAATTAATGGAGGGACAGAAGCAAGATGAGAAGATTTTTTTTTTTTTTTTCAAAAATGCTAGCCCACCCTTTAAAGGTCATCCTTCAAAAGTGGAAGACACCACTTGGGATCAGCTTCTTATCTCTGTTCTGCTTTTAAACAGCATCATAGCCAAACATTTCCAATATCAAGAGTAATCCTGTTCTAAATATCCTCCCAGGGAAATTTGAACACTTTCATTTGTAACCTATGCCTGAGTTTTGACAACATTCATAATCAAACCACTCCTTATAGTGCTGACCTAAATGCTTCTTAACCCAGAAGGAATTCATTTCCTCACTTATCACCTCTTGCACATGGTCTTGCAGATAGTAGTTAATAAGCTGTGGGCCTATTGAAGGTCTGAAGAGGGTGGGATAAGCACGGAGCTCAATGGGCTCAAAGTCCTTTGTTGGTGGGACAATCCTGCTCTTTGTAGGACATTTAAAACGCCTGCCCACTGTATGCTAGGTGCACACTCACCAGTCACTGTAACAACCAGAAAGGCATTCTCCATGTCCACATTTCCAGGTGCCCCAGGGAGAAACTGCACCATTTGAGACCCACTGGTCAATAATCTCTAGATTTATACTGATCACACAGTAGAGAATTGAACAGCTCATAGAAGCAGGAAAAATATATTTTCTTTGATACATTTCAAATAGACTGTACTCTCTCTTCACATTCTAGGTCTAGGAATAAAGTTATAATTAACAAACACTGTCACTACCTAATTGTCTCATGACCATGAGAACCCCCCTTTGCCATTTTGTGTCTGTAACATTACACAACCACCATTGGATAAGAAACAGTATCTTTATTTAGGTAAGGATCAAAGAGGTCAACTGAATTCTTCAAAACCACCCTTTTGGGGACCGAGAGAACCACATCAGCATCTCCAAAGTCCTTGCCATTTTCACAATATCAATCTGCCACACACTTAAAGATGCTTATATGTGTAGGTTCCTGGCACAGGAAAGATGTCTGGGCAGAAGATAAGAGCGAGCATGTGACAAGTGAAGTCATATGCCTGCAACAGCTGGAGCTGGGCCAGCCCAAAGTCAGTAGCCCAGGAGTCAATTTGGGTGTCGCATATGGGTGGCAGGAACTCAAGTATTTGAGCAAATACCAGCTGCCTCCCATAACGCACATTAGCAGAAAGCTACAATTGAAAGCAGAAGCTGGACTTGAACCCAGATACTCCACTGTGGGATGTGGGAGTCCCAGGTGGCTTTATAACCACTGTCTAAACACCTTCCCCAAATATACTTGTAAAAACCAGAGGCATTAATTAAGAAACTCCAGAATTACACATTAAGGACAGAGATCCTCCATGAGGAGTAAGTGCACAGTGACTCCTATTGTTGACTTAACAAATTGACACTCTTGTTTATGGCATCAGTAATCACCCTAGGCTCTTGTCATGAGTCGCCATGGCTATGGAAGCCTTTTGAGTTCACCAACTCTGAATTACAACCTTCATAAGACAGATAACTTAATTCCACTAACATCTCACTGCAATGGTAAAGATGTTTCAGAAGTGGGAACGTTTTTTTCTGTGGAGGGCCACTTGAATATTTGTATTATCATTTGCAGGCTATACTAAATTATCAACTCAAGAATTAATCTGCTACAACAGGATTGGAAGAAGCAGAGCTAACTGCGGATGCTCATGGGTGTTTGTGGATGTTTTCGTGTGTACCACCCTAAACACTAAGGCAAGATACCTCTTGTGGTTCACTGGCCATGTAGCCTAGTGGCCATTTCTCATATATAATCACTAACAGTAAGTAAAGAAGGTATAAATCTCCAAATGGATCCAAGTTTTCTTCACCTTTAAAAATCCAAATATGCTTGTCCTGGATCCAAGTTCCAGACTCATAGAACCCCTGGATTTTTAACTCTCAAATTTGACTACACCAAACTTCTGGCAATTCATCAAAGTTCACGTTTTCCAATCCTGGCATTGGTTTCTCTGCAAGTGTTCACTCAGTGTCTGCATCAGTAAATCCCGACTCCCTGTATTAGCCTGTCTCTCTAATCCTGTGAACAGAGCCAAGTTTGCCCTGTGTCCTCACCATTCTTAGTAATCCAAAAAGGTTTGCTGAATTTGCAGCCTGTTTTTATTTGCTGGTTGGGAAAAAGTAGTGACATTAAGGAGCGTTACGTGTGGGAATGGGGCCTGGGAAGTACTGTGAGCGACATGTGTTTCTTGATTCATCATGTTCACTTCCAAGTGTTTAATCTACCTGCATGTGCATATCTTCATCACTGTGTGAGTTTTTCCCATATGAACTCTTCTTTTATGTGTGTATTATTCAAGTGGTACAGACCACCTGAAAAGCAGATTGCCAAAATTGAGGTGTTGTGTAAGTGTTGGAAACATTCAATAGACTCTAAAGATTTTAGTGGGCATCTATAAATTACTTAACTTGCTGTAAATATTCATTATAGTTTAAAAGTGAAAATATCTTCAATATAGCAGACTCAATAAAATATTAATTCTTGTATAAAGAACTTGAAGAGAGGAACTAGAAGATCCTCTAACAGGCTCCATAAAGAATGGATATAGGCAGGCGCCGCGGCTCACTAGGCTAATCCTCCACCTTGAGGCGCTGGCACACCGGGTTCTAGTCCTCGTTGGGGCGCCGGATTCTGTCCCGGTTGCCCCTCTTCCAGGCCAGCTCTCTGCTGTGGCCAGAGAGTGCAGTGGAGGATGGCCCAAGTGCTTGGGCCCTGCACCCCATGGGAGACCAGGATAAGTACCTGGCTCCTGCCATGGGATCAGCATGGTGCACCGGCCGCAGCGCGCTGGCCGCGGCGGCCATTTGAGGGTGAACCAACGGCAAAGGAAGAGCTTTCTCTCTGTCTCTCTCTCTCACTGTCCACTCTGCCTGTCAAAAAATAAAAAAAAAAAATAAATACATAAATAAAAGAATGGATATAAAGGAAATAGAATGTCTGGCTGCCTGGTACAATTTTATATGCATATTTGTGAGTGTGTGTATGTGTATTTAAAGCTGTACTGTACCCCTTAAAATGTGCAAGTATTAGATGTTAATCTAAAATTTAAAAATAAATTTAAAAAAATTAACAAAAAAAGAATTAGTCTGCCATGGGTTTATTGAATTTTGAGTCCCTATTGTGGTTGCTTTGGCAGGACTAGACAGTGACTTTGTGGTCATTATGTGGCCCGGACATTCCCCACCCACAAAGGGACAGTCTGGAGGGCAAAGAAAAACATACAATGACCAATTCATGTTTAAAAATAAGCCCTGTAATCACAAGGATTTCTTTGGTTTGTGAGATAGCACCAGATTCCCAAAACAAAACTGATATGTTATTTCTAAAATGTGAGTAGGATAAATGCTAGTTTTAGTCTCTACTTCTATTTCCTCAGGAATGTTTTGTTTCAGAAAGTCAAATTTTGGAGTCAAGATATACCCAAAACTGCTCAATGCTTTAGATATGCAGATATGAAGTAGTTAAACATCTCCTCTAAGAAACAAACCTGAGTTTTAAAGTTTTGCTTTATTGATTAACTCCTAAAAATACATCATGTTAAAAGAAAGAAGGTAGGGGCCAGCGTTGTAGCACAGCAGGTAAAGCCACCGCCTGCAGTGCCGGCATCCCAAATGGGTGCCACTTCGAGTCCTGGCTGCTCCACTTCTGATCCAGCTCTCTGCTATGACCTGGGAAAGCAGCAGAAGATGGCTCAAGTCCTTGGGCCCCTGTACTCGCATGGGAGACCTGGAAGAAGCTCCTGGCTCCTGGCTTCAGATTGGCGCAGCTCTGGCCATTGCAGCCATCTGGGGAGTGAACCAGCAGATGGAACACCTCTCTCTCTCTCTCTCTCTCTAACTCTGCCTTCAAATAAAATTTTAAAAAGTTAAAAAAAAAAAGAAGGTAAAGTCCAATCCAGATTTTGGTTAGTACTCTTCTCAACCACCTCAAATCCTTCATGGCTGATTATAAGAACAATAGGAAGTAAATAATTGGCAAGCTATTGGTAAAATTTGAAAGAATCTAATTTTTAATATATTCAGTATTAGTAGGGATATGGAAGAAAATACAGACAGGCAGTACTGACCAAACTGGCAAAAGATTCATGATCAAAGCAATTGTGAACAGGCTAGCTGTGGTGGACACAAAATCTGAGTCCTGACACCTGTGGGAGAGGTGCAGAGCAGTGACCCTTGATGACCTTATCTGTGGTTAGGCCATACAGGTCAGCAGGATCTATCTGGAGGCTGTCACAATAGTGACTTTAAGGTGGAAATGTTAGGTAGGAGTCAGAAATTGAGAAAGGCCTGAAGACCAGCACCTACTGTGGAGGCTCCAGAAGCCCAGCATCTTGCACTTCAAAGTCCTGCCCAGACCCTGAAAACCTCCCAGGTGGTCCCAGCCCTCCCCACAAGGAAAGCTCCCAGGAGAGTTCTCTCCCCTCAGGACCAAAGGGGTTACCTGATAACATGGGGCAATAACACTTTCTCAGACACGCCCTAAGGGAAGCCCAGCCAATCTGGGGAGGAATTTGCTAATTTTCACCCAACAAACAGTTCTGCCAGGACTCTTCATCCTTTCTCCTGGATGAGAGGACTAGGCGGGTAAACAGACTCCCTTAGAAACCTAGTATGTCCAAGTGGACTGCATGCTCAGCCACTTGCCTCCCTGCCGAGCCGCCCGCCTGGCCTGCCCAGGTGTATTTTCTCCATTCAACCATGCAGTCCAAGCAACTGGGCACCCTCTCTCTCTCTGTGTTCCTTCTGTCCTGATGGATGCCCTGTCCCCAGTAAAGCCTTATCACTCCGCTCTCTCTCTCATTCCTGAATTCTTTTTTGCATAAAGACAAGAACCCCACGGCTTCCACGGCCTTCCTTCAGGTAACAGAAAGAGCCAATAGGAACAGGAAGGGGCAGAATGAAGATACCCAGTGTCATGGACAGCAAAGGAACAGTACCTTTAAAAAAAGATGCCAGAGGTAGAAAATGAATAAGGAAAAAGGGAGAGAAGAAACTTCACTGGGTTTATAGATTGACAGGCCATTGGCAAGGTTTAGGAAATTTTTCTAAGGGCTTTAGGGAGATGGAGATAGAAAAGAGATACAGCCTTAGATGAGTGCCAAGCTACCCTGGTTTCCTAATGCTGTTTTAATGAACTTAGCATTGATTCTATGCACTGAAAACTGTGAGCATGGACTGTTCTACAAATGAAGCATTTCCCCCATTTCCCATATACGTTTCTGTCCCACATCCCAGGCATTGCAGTTATTCTCAGGTCTTGGACTATTAGAGATACATATCCTATCCCTAATCAGCAGATCACATTTTTAAACTTGAGCCAAGTGTTCTGCAAAATAGTGTCCTGCCCGGGGCTGTTACTGAAAACCAATACAGCATTCCTTTTGGTGGAAAATAGTGCAACGGGACTTTAAAACCAACACAACAGTCAAGAAGATACTAGTTATTGTCTGGTACTTATTCTGGAAAAGAAAAAAACTTTTAAGAAATTTAAGAGTTAAATTTCTTGATCATTTAAAATGTTTCATAAGAATAATATGGCTTCTTCTAATGACACAAAAGAATAGAGTTCACAGCTCTGAATCTTCTCATCATGTAAAAGTGTTTTTCATAACCTACACGCCAAGTGCTCTTTCTGGGCTGGCTGGATATAGCACAGTGTTTGGATAATCACAATTCAATATATCAACCTTGAAAGGCTCAAGTTGTCATATATATTTATGAAAGTGAATATACATAAACATATATATATGAATACACGAAAGTGAATTTCAATCATTATTATCACATAGTCTTCTAGTCCATGAACCAGACCTTCTGTATTTTTTAAAGACACTAGTTACAGTTTTTCCAGGAAATTATCAAAGAAAATAATCAGTGGACTTCCAGGCTTTATCCATGAAGGTAGGGATCATGGCATATAATCTCACCATGAACGTTCACTTGGAATAGACCAACCCTAATTATAAAACAGCAAAAAAAAGTTTGGTCACAAATTTCCCTGTGGGAGTAGGGAAACCGTCTTTGACCTTGAATGCAGAGCCCACTGACGAGCTTTACGAGGGGCTCTTTTGGAACTAGTGGTTTTTGTGGTTTCACTTACATTGTGAGGGTCTGCAAAAGAAACACCTATGAACAAGATGTGCTTAGTAAAAGACTAGATTCGAATGAACTTAAGCTTTCCAGCTCATATATTAGAGAAGAAGTGAATGGCTACAGCCAAGAAATACAATGAAAATCATATGTGTGAACAAGAATCCACTTTTCAGTAAATTTCAGGAAGGAAAAAAAAAAAACAGGTGTGATTTCTTTCCCTGAAATTTTAAAGGTGTACTTAAAATATGCCCTGCATAATTACTACTCTGTATCCATGTTCCACATGTGTGTAGGATTTTTGAGAAATTCTACCTTGGCCTGACAAAGAAATTTAGAGTGATGGTGATGCATACAAGTATAAGCAGAAAGATAATTAGTACAAACAAAATCGTTACTAAACATTGTATTTTTGACAAACAGGAGAACCTTGATATCACCAATAAAGTTACCAGTGATATTAGCATGCTTCCCCATACTACGTTTATGAGACTGCATATAGTAGGATTGACATAATGTATCAAAGATTATATCTGTGGGCTCTAGGTCCCATCCCAGCCTTACATGTTTCTGTCAAATACATTTTCACAATTGTGTCCCTTAACATCTGTTTTTAATAATTCCTTCAGCTTCCTTTTTTATTGAGCAGTTTTGGAAAAAAAAATTTATAGATCTTTTCTAGTGTTTAACCTCACATCATTTATTTCTGGCAGGCTTTAAGGCTGTCACCCCAACTCCTGCCCTTTTGTTAATAAGAATAATTGATTTCTACCCCAGCATATCTTGGCTCATTCTCAAGCGTCCCTCAGATTTCTTTATTTTCCTTCAGGCTGAGCATAGGTAGTTAGGTTCACCTTTTCTGACAAGCTCTGCTTTCTAAACATTTTATCACTTTTGTTCTCCTTTTTAATTTGTCACTGTCCTTGTT